AATATTACTCTTTTGAAGCGGAAAATATAGCGAAACAACAAAAATGCTGAAAATTTTCGCAATACACATGACGTCACAGATTGCAACTAGGTTTAGACTGTGACGTCAGGAAGTTTCCTATCCAGTTATTTTACAATCCATGCTCTTACTGACTTAATATGCATTTAATTGGCTGATACGTTAGATCAAACTTAATCTGTTTGGTCAATGGTGGCGGTAGTGGAAATCCGATCTACGCCTCTCGTACTAGTAGTTTTTCTGATGAGACAAAGAAACGACGTTCATTAGAGTGCCTATGACAAAAAATTTCACCCCAAAGGTTTATGGTTAATTTTTAATTTTAATTTATAAACTTTGCCGATGAAACAGTACATTACATGACAGGACAAAAACAAACGTACATAATGAAATACAGTAGGTACATGACCACGGCTGGGTGACCGCAACAGCGAATAGCCAATTACTGCGGGCCCGACACAAAACTATCATTACACATATATATATACACATACATGCGTTACAGTTGTGATCTTATTTACAGTTCAACTGCAACACGATATTGGACGTAACAGGCTTCGAATACAATTACATTTCAGACATATACTCTTAAATGTTCGAGAGTTTTCAGGATCATAATTAATGTTCAGTGATGTAAAGTAATACTTGAGCAGATCTGATTTAAATACAGAAATGCTAGTATCCTTAGTAAAGTTCAGTTCATCTGCAAGATAGTTCCAAACTCGGCACGCTTTTACGAGGAAAGATTTTTGGTAGGTGGTAGTTCTGCATTTAGGGATGACATATTTCAGTTTGTTTGATGAGGTTGATCGGGTTGTTCTACGAGTGGCGAAGATAGCTGGCGACACTTGGGGATTTAGTGTTACTAGACCATGTGTGATTTTGAAAAACAAGATAAGGTCCAAGTATTCGTGCCAATAGCTTACTGGAAGAAGATTTAAAGACCGTAACCTCGATTTATAGTCAACAGCTGTGCTAAACGGTAGATTTAAGATGTATTTAGTAGCACGTCTTTGTGTTCTTTCGAGTTTACTTATAAGTTCCACTGACTGTGGTGACCAAACCTGTGTAGCGTAGCCAAAGTGCGACCTAACCAATGCCAGGTATAACGCTCGTCTGGCTGCAGTATTTTGAATAAACAAAGTGTTCCTTCTAACATATCCCAGAATCTTATTCGCTTTCGCTGTCTGCTCGTTCACATGTTTTTTCCACGTTAAATCTGATGACAGCCACACGCCAAGGTCTCTTTCGTTGTCAGTAATGGATATGATTGAGTTGTCCAACTTGTACGAGGAAGCAACTGGTGCTTTTTTCCGCGTTAGCGTTTGATGTTTGCACTTGGATTGGTTGAATGATAGCCCAGATACCGTTGACCAATGTTCCAGGGTTCCAAGATCAGTTTGTAGAGAGGTAACATCGTTCTGTGATTGAATTGCGGAGAATATCTTCGTGTCGTCGGCAGACATTGCAGCTCGACTGGACGTGGGTGCTTCGAGTAGGTCATTCACGTAAAGAAGAAACAGTGCAGGACCGAGTATTGACACCTGTGGAACGCCTGAACAAACTGGTAGAGACTTCGATGTTACACCAAGTACAGTAACACGTTGACGACGGTCAGTCAAGTACGATTGAAACCATTTTAGTAGGTTACCGCCAATACCCGAATTTGCTAATTTCTGCGTCAATCGCTTATGGTTGATTCGGTCAAACGCTTTTGACATGTCAAGGTATACCATATCTACCTGCCCTCCCTTGTCCAGACAGGCGCCGATGTAATCTAATGCTTCTAACAAATTAGTCACACAAGATTTTCCTTGGAGGAATCCGTGCTGGTGATCATAAATTATCCCAGAAAAGTGTTGTCGAATGTTCATGAAAATGTACCGTTCTAGAACTTTCGAAATAATTGGCAGGAGAGAAATTGGCCTGTAATTCTCTGTATATTCTTTGTTACCTTTCTTATAAACGGGAACAACGTTCGCTAGTTTCCAATCTTGTGGCACAGTTCCTTGTTGCAATGATTTGTTGAATAGTTTGCAGATGGAGGGAGTGATTATTGAGGCGGTTTCTTTTAGAAGTCTCGCTGGGATTTCGTCCGATCCAGTTGTTTTGTTAGTATCAAGGGAGTTAAGTAAAGTTTCTACCTCTAACTCAGTTACTTTGAGTTCAGTTAAAACTGGATCTGTCCTGTTAGGATGTTGAACAGGGAGGTTTTCGGATGTAAATACGGAGGCGAAGTAGGTATTGAAGAAGTCAGCTATTTCGTTAGGGTTTGTAGCAATTGGTCTGGAAGGGAGGTTTGACTGGTCGGGATGATTCAAGAATGCAGTAGCGTGTGACGGAGGCATGGAGATACGATCAGGAATGCTACAAGACTTTGATCTTTGCTTTAATACGGACCAAAATCGCTTTGGGTTATCTTTAAAGCTATTGTCGATTGAACCAAAATAGTTCTCACGGCTTTCACGCAACAATTTCTTGATTTCAGAACGAAGGCTCTTGTATTTCTCTTCCAAGTAACTGGTAGGGTTGGCTTTTATTTTCCGCCGAATAGAGTCCTTCTTTTTGCTCTTATGAAGGATGTCGCTGTTAATCCATGGTAGCGGATTTCGACCTTTAATTTTCTTCTTGGGTATAAAGGCAGAAACTTTGGTAATAAATGTGTTCTTCCAACGTTGCCAATCATTGTCAATGTTATCAGAATCTGATATTAATGAAGATAGATCTGTTGCCTGTAGGGCAGTGCGTAGACCATCTAAATCTCCTTTCGCGTAGTCGTAGACTGTTCTAACAGATTTCCGTGGAGCTGTAATGAAAGCGGTAAAATCGAACGAAATAGCATCATGGTCTGTAAAGACCGATGATTGTTCTGGAGATAAAGTTTCTGTCAAGCGAACATGATTTGGGACACTTGTAATCACCAGATCTAGTACGTTGTTACCGCGTGTAGGAGTGTTATTGAGTTGGCATAGGAAGTGATCATTTAACATTTCCACGAAGAGAAGATCGTTAACACTATTCGTTTTGTCCATCTCGTCCCACTGAATTTTTGGGAAATTGAAGTCGCCATTTAATTAATGTTGTGCCTTGTTCTCCAATAAAGTTATGCAAAATGTACGTAATTCTTCAGTATTAAAACACTTATATTAAATATCTACGCAGAAGCATTGGAGCCCCTAATTTCCTATCGTATTACACTTGCAAGAGCTGCGAAAACAGTCGGTTCTGATTGGACATGTTCAACTGTGCGCGAACTTTTGACCTTGATACAATGATACGAAAAAGAATTAAAGATTATATTTATATATTTGTTATTGACACGCGGTGCTCATAAAATGTTTCGCCAATTTTTCAAGTCTGTTCATTACAATAAACAACAAGATAAATGCCATTGGGTAAAATGACTTATCGCGAAGTAACAAAGACAAGAATTATTCCAATTAATAAAGCGTTTGCTACGTTTCTGGTTCTACGTTATTTCTAGACGGCTGACTAAAGTCACCGTAAGTGTCATTAAATTAAACGCGCGCCGAAATATTTATTTGTCAATTGCTGTATAGCTGTTATGGTATATGTTATATGTAGCGTATAAGGGGCGGTCACGGATTCTAATGAAACCTCACGGTGAGCTCACACTCACAGTCTCACAGCTTGTTAATATCTGACGGATTCTCACGGATTTCGAAAATAACACGACTTCAACAATATGGTTTTGTTTGATATAAATAAAAGCTACCAAACCTTGTGTGTATAAGGTACAGAACGCTCTGAAAATGCCATTTCCAACGATCTAGAGACTCCATATTTTCAAAAATTTTCCGCTCGGCGCCAACCATGGTGGCGCCTCGTGGCGCGTTGGTCGGTAAAACTTAGATGTTACACCCCCCCCCCCAGTTAAAAAAGGTCATGCTACGCCCCTGATTAAGTACAGTGGCGGTAAACTTTGGAACAGTCTTCTGCCCATAGCTAAGGAAGCGCAATCAATTTACTCTTTCAAAAGCTTTGTAAATTAAGTTAGATAGAAACAACTATAATTCTTAATATACCACCGAATCACACCAATTTAATTGAATATTTTTTAAAAATATCTTGTAAAAAGCTATATATATCTTATTTTGTAACTAAAGTTTACTTGTGCTAGTGACACCCCTTGTGGAAATGAACTATTGCTCTTAACAAGGCTAACGTCATTATATAAAGCTTTACATACATACATACATACATACATACACACATACATACATACATACATACATACATACATACATACATACATACATACATACATACATACATACATACATACATACATACATACATACATACATACGCATATACACACATAATGTTGTAGTAACTACACATAGGCCTACAAGTAACTATAGCCAAGAGTTTCGGTTGGCGAGCACCTTACGACTTGGTTATAAGCCTGCTTCTATAGGTCAAGGGCAGATTTTCGACGAGCCAGAGGCGCGAATCGCCTTTTTAGTGGGAGCGTCGGTCGAGTGTAGTAATTCCGCTCGACAAGTTACATTCCTGTACTTAAGCTTTTATTTTATATCTATGTTGCCGTTTTTAGTATATCTTGCGAATTTCAATTTGGTAAAATATTTTTAGAGATGGAAAAAACATCTTTTCGATTTCTTACTCTCTGTAACCGATTTGGAGAAAGGTTACTGCCACAAGGCAATATCAATTCCTAAATTACAAATGGCTTAGCCCTTTCCTAATTACTTGATATATTTGAATATGTTGGGGTAAAGTTCATTATTTTCTTTCATTATTTTCTCAGAGACGCTTAACCCCCAAATATGTTGGGGCATTTTCCGTTTGGCAGTGAGGAAAGTCCTCTTAATTTCTGCTCATGCTTATTGTTTTGGAAAATTGAATTCATTCTTTTTTAGACATCGACGAATGTTCACAAGCAAACATGTGTCACGCTGACGCAACATGTACTAATACACCAGGATCATACCTATGTACTTGCAACACTGGTTACACAGGCAATGGAACGTATTGCGTAGGTAAGTAAAGAACAATAAAATAAGTGAATGAAAATATTAAACGGGAAATGGGAAAAATAAATGAGAAAAGTTAGATTGCAGTCGACGAGGTATGAGCAAGATTACATTAATGCAAAATTATCAACGACTTTGGTGCACCAAATTTGAAAGAGTTGTTGATGAGAAGGAATTCTTTAGAAACTAATTGTGACTCAGAAATTCTCACACTGATCTGGCCCTTCCTACACCGAGACGCAAGTTTCTTGAAAAAGCTTTAAGTACAGTGGTGGTAAACTTTGGAATAGTGTTCCGCCCGCAGCTAAGGAGGCGCAATCAATTTACTCTTTCAAAAACTTTGTAAATTAATTTCATGGTTATATAGAAAGAACTATAAATCTTAATATACCACCAAGTCACACCAATTTATTTCAATATTTTTAAAATCTCTTGTAAAAAGCTATATAACTTTGTAACTCACTTTTCCTTGTGCTAGTGACACCCCTTGTGGAAATGAACTATTGCTCTTGACAAGGCTAGCGTCATTATATAAAGCTTTACATACATACATACATACGCACATTCATACGCAGATACACACATAATGTTGCAATAACTACACATAGGCCTACAAGTAACTATAACCAAGAGTTTCGGTTGGCGAGCACATTACGTCTTGGTTAAGCTTGCTTCCATAGGCCAAGGGCAGATATTCGACGAGCCAGGGGCGCGAAGCGCCTTTTTAGTGGAAGCCTAGGATGAGTGTAGTAATTTCCGATCGACAATTTACACTCCTGCACTTAAGCTTTTATTTTATATCTATGTTGCTGTTTTTCAGTATATCTTGCGAATTTCAATTTCGTAAAATAGTTTACACATGTAAAAAAAAATTTCGATTTCTTACTCTCTGTAACTAATTTGGACAAAGGTTACTGCCACAAGGTAATATCAATTCCTAAATTACTAATGATTTAGCCCTTTCCTAATTACTTGATATATTTGAATATTGTTGGGTAAAGTTCATTGTTTTTTTTTTCATTATTTTCCCAGAGACGCTTAACCCACAAATATGTTGGGGCATTTTCCGTTTGGCAGTGAGGAAAGTCTTCTTAATTTCTGATCATGCTTATTGTTTTGGAAAATTGAATTCATTCTTTTTCAGACATTGACGAATGTTCACAAGCAAACATGTGTCACGCTGACGCAACATGTACTAATACACCAGGATCATACCTATGTACTTGCAACACTGGTTACACAGGCAATGGAACGTATTGCGTAGGTCAGTAAAGAACAACAAAATAAATTAATGTAAATATTAAACGGGAAATGGGAAAATTAAATTCGAAAACTTAGATTCCAGACGACGAGGTATGGGCAAGGTTAGATTATTATATAAAATTCTCAACGACTTTGGTGCACCAAATTTGAGAGAGTTATTGATGAGGAGGAATTCTTTAGAAACGAATTGTGACTCAGAAATTCTCACACTGATCTGGCTCTTCCTAAACCGAGACGCAAGTTTCTTGAAAAAGCATTAAGTACAGTGGCGCTAAATTTTGGAATAGTCTTCCGCCCATAGCTAAGGAAGCGCAATCAATTTACTCTTTCAAAAGCTTTGTAAATTAAGTTAGATAGAAACAACTGTAATTCTTAATATACCACCGAATCACACCAATTTAATTGAATAATTTTTAAAAATATCTTGTAAAAAGCTATATATATCTTATTTTGTAACTAACGTTTACTTGTGCTAGTGACACCCCTTGTGGAAATGAACTATTGCTCTTAACAAGGCTAACGTCATTATATAAAACTTTACATACATACATACATACATACATACATACATACATACATACATACATACATACATACATACATACATACATACATACATACATACATACATACATACATACGCACATACACACATACATACATACATACATACATACATACATACATACATACATACATACATACATACATACATACATACATACATACATACATACATACATACATACATACATACATACATACATACATACATACGCACATACACACATCATGTTGTAATAACTACACATACAAGTACCAATATAACCAAGAGTGTCGATTGGCGAGCACCTTTAATACGGCTTGGTTAAGCCTGCTTCTATACGTCAAGGGAAGATTTTCGACGAGCCAGGGGCGCGAAGCGCCTTTTTAGTGGGAGCCTAGGACGAGTGTAGTGAACCCGCTCTACAATTTACACTCCTGTACTTAAGCTTTTGTTTCATATATATGTTGCTGTTTTTCAGTATATCTTGCGAATTTCAATTTCGTAAAATAGTTTACAGATGTAAAAAACATCTTTTCGATTTGTTACTCTCTGTAACCGATTTGGACAAAGGTTACTGCCACAAGGCAATATCAATTCCTGAATTACCAATGATTTAGCCCTTTCCTAATTACTTCATATATTTGAATATGTTGGGGGTAAAGTTCATTGTTTTTTTCATTATTTTCTCAGAGACGCTTAACCCACAAATATGTTGGTGCATTTTCCGTCTGGCAGTGAGGAAAGTCCTCTTAATTTCTGCTCATGCTTATTGTTTTGGAAAATTGAATTCATTCTTTTTTAGACATCGACGAATGTTCACAAGCAAACATGTGTCACGCTGACGCAACATGTACTAATACACCAGGATCATACCTATGCACTTGCAACACTGGTTACACAGGCAATGGAACGTATTGCGTAGGTCAGTAAAGAACAATAAAATAAATGAATAAAAATATTAAAGGGGAAATGGGAAAATTAAATGGGAAAGCTTAGATTCCAGGCGACTATTTATCATCAAGGTTACATTCTTATATAACGAGTTTGGTGCACCAAATTTGAAAGAGTTATTGATGAGGAGGAATTCTTTAGAAACTAATTATGACTCAGAAATTCTGACACTGATCTGGCCTTTCCTAAACCGAGATGCAAGTTTCTTTAAAAAGCTTTAATTACAATGGCGCTAAACTTTCGAATAGTCTTCCGCCCACAGCTAAGGAAGCGCAATCAATTTACTCTTTCAAAATCTTTGTAAATTAAATTCATGGGTAGATAGAAAGAACTATATAAGTCTTAATATACGACCGAATCACACCAATTTAATTGAATATTTTTTATCTCTTGTAAAACGCTATATATCTTTGTAACTAACTTTTACTTGTGCTAGTGACAGCCCTTGTGGAAATGAACTATTGCTCTTGACAAGGCTAGCGTCATGATATAAAGCTTTACATACATACATACATACATACATACATACATACATACATACATACATACATACGCATATACACACATAATGTTGTAATAACTACATATACGCCTACAAGTAACTATAGCCAAGAGTTTCGGTTGGCGAGCACATTACGTCTTGGTTAAGCCTGCTTCTATAGGTCAAGGGCAGATATTCGACGAGCCAGGGACGCCAAGCGCTTTTTTAGTGGGAGCGTAGGGCGAGTGTAGTAATTCCGCTCGACAATTTGCATTCCTGTACTTAAGCTTTTATTTTATATCTATGTTGCTGTTTTTCACTATATCTTGCGAATTTCGATTTCGTAAAATATTTTATAGATGAAAAACAAACATCTTTTCGGTTTCTTACTCTCTGTAACCGATTTGGAGAAAGGTTACTGCCACAAGGCAATACCATTTCCGAAATTACTAATGATTTAACCCTTTCCTAATTACTTGATATATTTGAATATGTTGGGTAAAGTTCATTGTTTTTTTCATTATTTTCTCAGAGACGCTTAACCCACAAATATGTTGGTGCATTTTCCGTCTGGCAGTGAGGAAAGTCCTCTTAATTTCTGATCATGCTTATTGTTTTGGAAAATTGAATTCATTCTTCTTTTTCAGACGTCGACGAATGTTCACAAGCAAACATGTGTCACGCTGACGCAACATGTACTGACACACCAGGATCATACCTATGCACTTGCAACACTGGTTACACAGGCAATGGAACATATTGCGTAGGTCAGTAAAGAACAATAAAATAAGTGAATTAAAATATTAAAGGGGAAATGGGAAAATTAAATGTGAAAGCTTAGATTCCAGACGGCTATTTATCAGCAAGGTTACATTCTTATATAGCGACTTTCGTGCACCAAATTTGAAAGAGTTATTGATGAGGAAGGATTCTTTAGCAACTAATTCTGACTCAGAAATTCTCACACTGATCTGGCCATTCACTAAACCGAGACGCAAATTTCTTGAAAAAGCTTTAAGTACAGTGGCGCTAAACTTTGGAATTATAGTGTTCCGCCCGCAGCTAGGGAAGCGCAATCAATTTACTCTTTCAAAAACTTTGTAAATTAATTTCATGGTTAGATAGAAACAACTATATTTCTTAATATACCACCGAATCACACCAGTTTCATTGAATATTTTTTAAAATCTCTTGTAAAAAGCTATATATCTTTGTAACTAACTTTCACTTGTGCTATAGTAACACCCCTTGTGGAAATGAACTATTGCTCTTGACAAGGCTAGCTTCATCATATAAAGCTTTACATACATACACACATACATACATACATACATACACACATACATACACACATACATACATACATACATACATACATACATACATACATACATACATACATACATACATACATACATACATACATACATACATACATACAT